GGGAAGATTCTTGCTAGAGATTGTAGCTAATAAACATAGCTGGACTGAATTGGCATTGTCTATTGGAGTTCCTTGGGCTAGGCCTGACAGTTACATAACCATTTGGGGCAGAATCAGCAACCTGTCCTTTTCCCAGTTTAACCATAAAGCCCCTTCTTTTACAGACAAATCTGTTGGTCTTTTGAAAGGCCATTGAACACATATTTAATTACAGGTTTAGTGATATTCCAGAAGCCCATATAAAAGGAGCCCTCATAATGCCTGAACAGTGCTTTGTCAAGTGCAGGTCAGGTTTTATGTGGGCAGTGGCCTCCAGGGATTCAGTCTCTTCTACATTCAGAGCAAAATGGCCATGGAGAACCATACTTAGTGACTGGAGCAGAGGGGGCATGCCCATAGCAGCCTCACCTGGCCAGTAGGAGCTTGGTAAATGCCATCACCAACATTGTGAATGAGGCATTATGTCAGTATAAGATAGAAGATGCTACTTTAAAACTGGAGCAGCTAAGCACAAATCTAGATTGCCTCCATGGGAGGTTAGGGATAAGATGAAAGTTGCATCAAGAGAATGTGTCCCATAAAAACAGGTAGTGTCTTCATGCCATTGGTTAATGAAATGGGAGAATAAGCCCTATGAGAGCCCAAAACTGCCCAGCGAATTTAATGGCTGGCTGCAGAGTTAAATTGCTCTTTTCTAGAACAATTTAGCAATGAATGGATGGATGGATGGATGGATGGATGGAGAAACTAACTTTTTGCGGGTATTACAATCCTACTTGGTGGGCCTTTCTGATGTGTGGCATAGAGCAGGGATGGGAAGCCTAAGCCCATGGCCAGATGTAATTTATAAGACTTTCATACTCAGCCCAGACAAGTTCAGGTTAAGATCTATTTCCTGAGTTCCCTCAAATAAAAATGCTTCTTCTTCTTAGTTTGTGCACAGAATGAAGGCGACCATCCCCTTACTCCAAGAACAGAAAAATAAAAACCATAGCAATGAGACCCAATCACTCTATTTTCCTCTTTGCGTAATAAGAAAGGAGCAACCATTTTCTCAGTGCAAAATAAAATTGGGTGCTTCCTTTGAAAACCTTGCCTAGAAGGAAAATCTTCAGATCTGGCAGGGTGCCTTGGATTATTTCATCAGCAATAGCCTCTAGTAATTTGTTCAGAGTTGTTTCTTTGGGCTGTAGATGTTCATTTGAACGTCTGTTGGGGCTTTGGAAAGGAGTAGATATAAACAAATCAACATTTTATCTTCAGTCTTAGGCAATGCAACTTCTCTTTTTCATGGTTTAGTAATTAACCTAAGTGTGTGTGTGTGTGTGTGTGTGTGTGTGTTATCATGTGTGTGAAAGGATTTGTCTATGAAAGAGAGGTGACCCTGGACCCTGATGCCATGCAGTCGCAAGGAGAGATTCCAAGACAGAATATGGTCTTTGACCCCAAACAAGTTTCCCCTCTGACTGAGAGGCAGATGTAGCAGAGCGCAATTTAAACCTGACATTAGAGACAACTGTCTGTGTGTTGATTCCAGAATCAGAATGGAAGGAAAAAAGAAACTGAGGGTCCCAAAGGGAATTCCTATTGGCTGTCACAGTTGGGAGAAGAAGAGGAGTTGTGTTGCAGTTAGAGAAAGAGAGAGATGCCAGTGTAGTGGCTAAAGTGATGCATTTCGGCTCAGATGCCATTGGTTCAGCTCAGTGCTCAGCCATAACATTTTTGGATGACTTTGGACTTCACACTAAACACTTGAGCCTCACGCGTAGCCTCTGTAGCTAGCCCTAATGATGCCATAAAGGTGACCTGAGTCATGATTTCATGACCCACACAAAGCAATTATATACATGACATCTGACGTAGATATGTCACTTGTGTCATTGGCATAACGATGCCATGATGCTTGTGTTGTCATTTGCCCTCACTGTGTAGTTACCCCTATACATTCTCTGCTCCTGCTTCCTTCTCTTATACAAGCCAATTGTTTATTTTCACTCTTGATTCTCAACAAACCAGTTCATCACTGTTTGTACAAATGAGTTTTTCCTGTTCAAATGCAATAGTAAATGCATTTGCCCAAAACTGTAAGTGTACATAAGGTAAGCTCTCAGTCTATGTATGGGAGAGGAGGGAACTTTGATAGGCAAAGAGTGCCGGGCTATGGCTTGCTATTATATCAGAAACAACCCATTATCCTCCATCAAGGAATTATAATGAAGTGATGAGATAATTCCATTTCTACTCTAAAAGAATGTTGTTCTAAATGCTACTGAGGAAAGGAAAGAGCTTTTTTTAGCCTCTCTAAAATAGGAGGGGGTTGTGCAAGAGTCTGAATAGCAAAAATCAATTGAAGAAGGAGAGCCCTGAGCCAGGGAAGACATGTTGCCGCAAAGTGTTAAGCAGGAATGTGTATGAAGTATTTAGAAAGATAGCATGATATCATGTACTATATGCAGTTTTTAAAGGAAGCTTTACTTTCACCTGAATGCTTCTCCTCAAAAGTATCCAGGCTCTCCACCTCAGTTGCGTGCCTCTAGGGGTGCAGCACACATGTTAAATCTCAGTGTTAAACAGAAAAGAAACCCAGACTCTAAGAAGCCCTCCAGGTGTTACATTTTAAGACTTTATATCTAGAAAGGACAATTATACTATAGCTAAAGAGTTTGGTTCACATTCTTAGAGATGCGGATAATTATACATAATGACATTTTTCCTAAAAGGTGGTAATAAATAAGATTTAATACTTCAGTTTAACTCTTTAGCAATTTAACACCTGAGTAAAATTAGGGTCACCAGCTTTGGGCTACAAGACCTTAGAAAATCACTAGGTGCCAGAAAAGAGTTGCGTGTGTCTCAGGGCTGCCATCTGGTGGTCATCTGTAGCTTTGCAGTCCAGAACTGGGGTCCCCTGTAATAGTCAGGTGAAATCTGATTTTATGTTTAAAAACGCAGAACCTAGGACTTATCCTTCTGCCATCCATTCATCCTGTTACAAGTGATTGAGGGACTTTTCAATAATTATTTGACCTTAGATAATTTTTAATGACATGTCACTAGGTGGAGGCAGGCAGGCCATGGAAATGTCAATTCATGAAGTAGTGCTGGTCTTACTAGGTTGTCCCATATCTCCACACTCTGTAGTAGCGGATACTTTTGTGGTAATAAGGATTCAGTAACATCAATTTCACTGTGCGACCGGCAGAATTACTACAGTAATTCAAGGCTAGAGTACTCTTCTTGGTCCATTTTTCTTAATAGCTGTATTACGTCATGACTTTTCTCATGACTTTTTCTGAAGCAACCTTAGAATTCTATTTCGTGTGAGTATAAGAAATCTTAGTCTCCATTACAAACCTATAGATTTCCTCATGCCTATTAAACCAGCATATGTTGGCCTGAGTTGTTGTGTAGACAATAGCTAGGAGCCCACAGTGAGCAAGTAAGCAACATCGAATATTATACTGTCACAATAAGGAAGAATCACAGTTTTTATGCCGTGGATTTAAATTATTCCTTTTAGGCTATCATATCAGCAATGCTCTGTTTAGACCACATTTTGGGAACATGTTAACTCTTACTTTCTTTATATTGATGCAACATGAACTTGTAATAGAGTTGAAATTTACTCAAAGCTATCTGCAACCTGAGAATGTCCTTAAAATGCATTTTACAAATACGCAGAGCAAAAGAAGCTTGTCCTGCATGTTGCCTGAATGAGAAGCCCTGAAAAACAACAGAAACTGCTTCAAGCTTTTCTTGGAACAGTAGGGTATACGTGTAACAAACTGACATAAATAACTAGTGATTGTTTTGGCTTTCATTGGAAAAAAGTTTGAACCACAAAAGGATTAAAATTAAGAAATTCCTTATGCTCCAGGGTTCCTCTGACCAGGTTTTGTTGTTGTTGTGGATCTTGAAGACAACAAATAATGCTTTTGAATCCATAACCACAAAGCATCTGGAGAGCAGAAGGAGTTCCCCAGTTACACATGTGCATTGATATATTTTGAAATATTTGACACTGCCTTTTGAAGCAAAGCCTCCTCTAAGCAGATTGCAGGGTGAAGTTTAAAATAGAACAATTTTTTTCTTTGTTTTTTACGCCTTCAATTCAGCGTTGACTCCTGTCAACTGCCTGGACCAATCCCTGAAGTTTGGTAAGGTTTTTCAGAAGTAGTTTGCCCTTGCCTCCTTCCTAGGGCTGAGAGACAGTGACTGGACCAAGGTCACCCAGCTGGTGGGACAAGAACTCATGGGCTCCTGGTTTCTAGCCTGGATCCACTAACTGGGTCTCAAAATAGCAAAACTGCAGGGATTTGTCCAGGCAGTTGCCAGAAGTCAACATTAACTCAAAGGCACCCCCCCCACAAAAAAGGACATAAATTACACTTAACTAAGCACATTTATCAGAACTGCATCGATAATACAGTGAGAGGATTCTATTCATCTAAGAGCAGTCCAGAACTTCCAGAAAAACTGTCAAGGAAGAAATCCTTGCACAATAAGATTTCCTTCCATCTTCGTGGCAGAAGAGACACGGGGGATGCTGAGTGTCTCATTTCACAGTCCAGCTTCTTTTCTTGCCTTTCAGCACATCAACAATGATCATATTCATGGGGAGAAGAAGGAGTTTGTTTGTCGCTGGCAAGAATGTACCCGGGAACAGAAGCCGTTCAAAGCACAATACATGTTAGTAGTGCACATGCGAAGACATACTGGAGAAAAACCCCACAAGTGCACGGTAAGAGAGTGTCACTGCAGAAGCGTTTTCAGCCTGAGGCTGACGTGGCCTAAGGCATCAGCAAACGAGCTACGCAGGCATGTGTCTTCCAGCTTCGCTAAGCTTCCCCATCTAGCACAGGCAGATCAACAGCAGCAGGTTGCAGTCTGGAGCAGATTAAAAATAAACTCCTTCCTCTGCCAGAGCACCGAAAGCACGAGAGAAAGACTCATTCAGTGGTGGGGAAGGAAGAGGGTGCCTATCCGATCTGCATCTCATTGGAGGGAAACTCTTTCTTTAACCTCAGGATGGAGAAACTCAGGACTTTTGGTTGAGGTGGGGGTCTGGTGCAGAGGGAGGGGAAGGGAAGATGTTTGGCAGGCAAATGAGATAACCCTATGGTCTGACTTCAGCCTGTCCCCCAAATGTCTCCAATAATCCGCCACATGTTGGCAGATTAGAATACAGCGGATGGAGTCCCATGTCCGCATAAGCACAGAGCTTATGTGGGGTCTCAGTGTGTGAGGAATATCCCTGAATTTCTCACTATATCACTGTTTCTCAGCCCTGGCAACTTGAAGATGTGTGGCCTTCAACTCACAGAATTCCCCAGCCAGCATGCTGGCTGGGGAATTCTGGGAGTTGGCCACACATCTTCAAGTTGCCAATGTTGAGAAACACTGATCTATATACTTGTGCTTATCCCACTCTCCCTTGCATAACCAGCAAATGAGCGAAGACTGTCCTACATCATGTTGTTAACTTCATGCTGGATACCACTATCTCCTGCAGATCAGCATACACATTGCAGAACAGAGATCTCACACAGAGAGCAACTGAATTGCAAAAGGAGCTTGCTGCATAAACACATCCAGCAAGCAGAGCTCCTGTTCTGTCCTCCTCCTGATCTCCCAGTAAAGCAAATTAATTCTGTCTCCAATTCATGTCACCGTTAGATGTGTTCTGTATTTGAAACCCCACAAAGTAATTTGAGAATTCCAAGGATTGAGGCAGTTTCTTCCGCATCTTAGAATGTTAGCATTTAGCCAGCCCTGACCCTGTTAGCACTTACACTTCTAACTTCAGAGCAAAAGACCCATTTCAGACAGTGCTGTAATATATATTAAAAGCTCATTGAGTGGAGAAATGTCCAGGTTCATTGCACAGTGATTTCTCAGCATGCCTTTGTTCTTTAAAAGTCAGCTGAGATGAGGAACAGGACAGTCAAGCAGAAGACCAGGCTACAACATCTGGCTTACATCCTTCTTCAGGATAAAGAAAGGGATGGAAGACCATTTGAAACTGAAGTCAGGGCACAGAAATAGGAAACTGGATTGGCCAGCTGTCCTGCTCAGATATGCTTTGTTCACGTTTGTATTCAAAACTGCTATATGCTGGCTGAGGTTTTGGGTACATTTTGCTGCCATTTAGTGGCCATCCAGATTTCTGCAACCCAGATATGCAGATATCCAGATCTGGAGCCCAGTCCTAAACATAGAATCTCAACAGGAATGATCCCTGCCTGCATGAAAATTGTGCATGAAAAGAACCCCAACGAGTGGGTTGGTCTTAAAAGTACAAGCACCTGCTTTCCATCAGCTGCCCAGATTACAAATTGCATTAAAAAAAGAAAAAGGAAAAAAAAAACTTTCTGTCTCAGACTGCTCATGAAAGCCAAGATCTGCCTGGGATTTATTCTCTTCAAGAGAGATTAAAACCAGATGAGATGGAAAAATGCCTCCAGCTGATTAACACTCCAGTTTTGTTTTGTTTTTAGTTTGAAGGTTGCTCCAAAGCCTATTCACGGCTAGAGAACTTAAAGACACACCTGAGGTCTCATACAGGAGAAAAACCGTATGTCTGTGAACACGAGGGCTGCAATAAGGCCTTTTCTAATGCTTCTGATCGAGCAAAACACCAGAACAGAACACATTCCAATGAGGTAGGGAATGTCCTTTACCACCAATTGTTTTTTTAAATGTTGCTACTACTATAATGTGCAGTGATCTGTATTATAATCATACCATAGTGACTTTTTTACATTTATTCTGCTGGAAGGGAAGATAATGCTAGTTTAATTCAAAGCTAATACCTGCATATTTTTCTCACATAAGTTGGGCTTGAACTATGATGCTGGCCAGGTTGAGCGTTCTTCCCAGTACAAAGAACTGCTCAATTTTTGTCTGTGTGTTTGAGAAAGAAATCCACCCAGCTAGCATCTGAGCACCCAAGCCTACATGAAATGGCTGGCCTTGTGGATGTGTAGGGCTGGTGCACAAGACAAATGTTGTATTGTCCTCTTTGCTAATTAAGATCCATTATTAGTAGCTGGGGAAGGTCAGGAAATTGCATTTATTGTACAACGTTTGATGGTCTGCTGCAAATGGTTAATGCTGAGGTTGAAATTTATATTACCACTAATTAAGCAAAGGGCAGTAAGAGGAAATGCTCCAGAGTTCTGAAAACAGCTGGGACTGGGTAAAATTAATTTGTAATCTTAAGTATACATTATGATGAGCAAGTGGACTGATATGAGCAAAATACTGAAATGTTTCCCTGGTGCTTCTCAGGTTCTTTTGCCACCTCACAGCTTCCTTTTGAACAAACCTTTTTCTTAACAAATATCATCATGTGTTTCTTATGTATGGCTTGAGGATAAGAGACTGTGTTGGTGGCAGAAGGGTACAAATGGATTGGTAAGAAGTGGAGCCATCAAAACCCGTGATCAAGCAGGGGAAGTTTTGCCAGCTAAGGAAGGGGGGGAAGACAGAAAACTAAGATAAGCCAGAGTTCAGTCTGCTCCCAAAGTATGTCAGCGAGTTGAATTGCTCTAGCCTGCTCATAACCAGCTCACACCTAGCTGGCCAGGCTTACCAAGAGGCCACTCATGCTGCAGATGGGATCATTATGAAACTCCTTAAGGTTCAACATCACAATCTGTTGGAGATGAATCTGTAGGCCATGCATAGGGAAAATATATATTTGTCTTTGCGGTTATTGACATGTCTCACTTCCTACAGAGGCAAGGTTGGTGGAAGCTTGAAATGGGCCTTTTATGAGCAGAGTTTCCTCCCTAGAGAAATTATGCTTGGCTTCTCATTATTATCTCTTTAAGCACTTTAAAAAGGCAACATTGTTTTGCCAAATGGTTAACCATCAGTGCTGCTACTTTAGGGTTAATCTCTACTTGTGTTGTGCAAACATTGTAACTATTATTTTATTGGGTTTATTTGTACATCGCTTTGCATCCCATCAAATGAGGGAGAAGAAATGTGAAAGTATGAATCTAAGTAAAGGTTCGGGGACTTTGTGAGAGGAGGAAAGACAAAACTTTCAGGATGGGTTTCACAGGACTGGCCACACTAAATAGGAACATGCTTAATAAAGGAGCTTCTAATTCATTTTGGAACAATCTAAACCATGTTTCATGTTCTGATCATTTGGATCTGCTACCAGAACTCGGTCTTGAACATCTTTGCTTGAAGTACCCTTTCTATTCTCAATTTGCCCAGGTCCTATCTAATAACCTATTAGGGACTGCAGAAGGGCCATTGAATAATATAAGGTACTCTGCTTGCCTAGGAAATGAGTTTGTTCCCGTCCTTCTGGTCTTACCCATCCATCTTAGAAGTGGCTGAATTAGCAAGTGGGACTTTTTCTGCATATGGAAAGCAATATCTAAATCAAAATTAGAAGAAGTAGAAGTATTTCTTAACTAAAGCTTAGAAAATGTAAACCAGCATTCTTTGGATGATCCCTGTCTAAGTTCTAATGGAAAAATACTTTAAGCAGGCTGAAACAGCATGTTACATGAATCCAGCCTTTCAGAAGGAGCTACCAAAGCTTTCTTGCTCAAAGCAGATTTGTGGAAATGCATTTGGATTTGCTGGGGGGGGGGGGGGGTCTTTTCTGCTTGTTTGCCTGCTTCTCTCTCCAGCTGTGGAGCCCTAACATTGTTTATTTGTCCTGTGGTTATCAGTGACTCAAAGTTTCAAAGTTACAATATCATCTTCAAAAATCACTGAGGGGCTTTGGATTTCACTCTACAGCATAAACAACTACCAGTTTGACAGATGATGGAGATGTAAGGGAGATCTGATGGGCCGCAAATCCAGTTCAGATTGTCTCCTGGGTTTCTGTAAAACAGGATGCCTTTTTCCCTCCCATCACCCTCCCAAGCCAAGTATATTTCAACAGAAAATGTGCCCTAAAGAGATTTCTTGCACATCCCAGCTACATCCCATGCTAATCTTATTAATGCAGTAATGTGAACAAATAGAAATCCATCCAATGCAATTATTGGGCAAGGTGTTAAAATGCTTTGATAGGGACCCCCTGACAATTCACAGACCCTGAGTTTCAGCTTGGAGTTTGCATATGCAGGGCAGAAGCATTCCATACAACTTCAAGGTGGAAGCAACATTTGGGGCAAAAGACTAGCTGGTCAAGCATTCTTACATTGTTATTGCTCCTTTCATCTATTATGAATAGCTAAGAAGAATGGGTAGATCCAAAGGAAGGCCACATCAAGACTGTTTCCAAACGAAGCAAGTGTGACAAAGCAAGCTATGCACCCCGAAAGCATTCCTCCTTCACCAGCATTAGGGAGATAGCCATGCAAACTAGAAAACTACCCTTCTGTCTGGGTAGTGATAGTGTCTATGATATGTACACAATTTGTTGTATACGTAGAATATATCAGCCCCATGTCACAAAACTGCCACTAAAATATATCTCTCAGCTATTTTCCTCTCATTTTGGTGAACCACTTCAGCTGTGTTACTTTTGGCAGAAACCCTATGTCTGCAAGATCCCAGGCTGCACCAAGAGATACACAGACCCCAGTTCTCTCAGGAAACACGTGAAGACTGTGCATGGACCAGAGGCCCATGTCACCAAGAAGCAACGCAATGACATTCACCTGAGGCCACCTGCCCTTAAGGAAAATAGTGACAATGAAGCAAGTGCCAAACAGAGCAGCAAGTCTACTGAAGAGCGGGCAGAGGCAAACAGCACCACCACAGGCACGGAGGACTGCTTACAAGTCAAAACAATAAAGACAGAGAATTCTGTGGTAAGAGAAGCATTTGCTTTAGCTGACGTATTGACAGTACTGTATAGCTTGTCAAGTAGCAAAAAATACTTACTAACCCTTTCCCCATCCCACCCCAAACACACAGATGTACTATCTTTTCAAATCTCCCAGTTTACATTTTGCCTAAGCCTACCTCCAACCTTTTCAGCATCCTTTTGCATGTCAAATTTAAGACTTCATACATCCACAGACATAGATAGTAGATATTACATGCATAAGCCAAAGAGAAGATGAAAAATTAACATTTGGAGTTTCTCTTTGAGAATGGGAAAACTGTTTTTTCCTGATACTTTTTACATCACACTGTGATTAAAATTTGGTAGGACTACCAGAAGTAAATTCATGAAATACAATTGTCCATCCTCAGAAAGATAATATTTTGAATTTTAATAACACATAAAGATATAGTTCCAGAGAGGTAGCTGTATTAGTCTTTTGTGCAAAGACATTATTTTGCTGATACCTATGTTCTAAGCAAGACCATAATTATGCTCTAGCTTAGTATTGTCCTTCTGGCTCTCCAAACCATTATAAAAAGTTGGTTTGAAGGCTCAGTGTGAGAAGCTCCAAATCATGATTCAGATGTGGAACCTTATACCTCATTCTTGACACATTCCCCAAACATCCCAGCAAAGATATTATAGAGGAAATTTACTATGCCCGTGAGAGCTCACTTCAGCATCTGCTCCCATTTTGTCCCTCTTTAGTTGCAGTATTAAGTGACATCAAGATGTGGCAGGGAGGCATACTAACTTGGGAATTTCAACATGAGGACAAGAGCATATTGTACTGAATTGGGAAGACAAGCTGGAAAAAAGCTTGTCTATTGTGCTCTTTGTCTTAGTTTTGACTAAAAGTTGATGGAGCTTCTCTCTGACGAGAGGTAGAGAACAGGAGATACTGCTTAAAATATTAAATAAACACTCATCTTCCCAACGGAACCTATGGAAGGAGCCCATATTTGTGCGTAAATGAATGTGTGTGGTCTGGTCTGGCTTTATTCATTTTACTGAAATATAGGCCATGGCATGTTCTTTCCAAAGTAATGCAGACCTCGAAAGAAAAAAAAATTCTCAACCACTGTTTTTTTAAAAATAATATTGGCAATTATGTAGTACTTGAGACTGTTCAAAGCATTTGACACATGTTACTGTAGTAATTACCAATTCTGTAGAATATGTTGGTTTTTGTATGACCATATGACAGGTGAGGCTGAGAGATAGTTCATGGCAGATATGAATTAGCAGTTAGTTCAGTGCTATGATACACCAGAAACTGCACTTTTATCATATATAAAAGCAGGATACACTGAACAAGTATCCCTGAGAACATGTAGATAACAAATACAAAGATGCATCACTGATGTTTAAATATGACATGCATTTTTTTAATGGTAGTAATAATACAGAGAGCTACATTTCACATGCTGTGTACTGGAGTGGTAAAAGCATATTTCTGCTAACTTCAGGACATCAGGATGAAGGAGTGAAATTATTTCCTGGAATTGGATATTCTGAAAGCATTTATTTTCTGATCCCTCATGAGACATCAGTAGTGATTATGTGCAAAGACCCATTGTCACATTTGCATTCTGTAAAGTACTATATACATTGATGGCACTGTAAAAACAGATTATAAATGTGATGTTATACAAGTTCAAGCAGTCTTTTATCTGTGCCATGGCTGTTGCTAATCTGCCATTATTTTTTTGCATCATGTCTTGCTCCATCAATAACCTCAACCCTTTCCCTTTGTGTTGTCTGTGTTCTAACAACCTGTTCTTTCTCCTCTCTTAACTTTTTCTACTCAACTTCACAAGGACAGTCGGTACTAAGGTGAGCAAATACCCTGTCTTTGTCAAAGTCTCTTACAAAAAACCTAATGTGCTTTGTCCTGTGTATGTGGCTAAGCAAACCAGCTGTAGGGTCTCTGTAGAGTTTCTGCAGGTGCTAAGATAGACTATTTGGAAAAACAGCTATAGTTAAGTACCTGTTACAGTTGTCTGTGAAATTCTTTCTCTCTCATCCTTTCCATGTTGGCATTCTACAAACAGACTAAGTATCCTATGGAGAACCCACACCTATAGAATTCATGAGACAAATCCTCCCTGATCCAGAACTATGGGGTGGTATTCCTCTATTCAAGATGCAGTTTGGAACAGACAACTGTTTTGAATGAGGTGTTCATCATAGGATGCACTATGGGGTGAAATATGTGATTCCAGCAGAACTTAGTGCCACCTGCCATTTAGGTATGATATTCTAAGAAGTGGCAGAAATATTATTCCATTGCTATGTTCCTGCTGGCCAACTGCCTCCTGTTATAACAACGTTGTACTGTTGTGTCTCTTTGGTTATGAATTACGTTGCCAGCATCCTCTTTCTAGCATCTTTCACCTTTTCAGTAAAAGTTTCTTTTTCCCTGTCCCATTTATGAGTAATCATATAATATGCATTGTTCATAAGAAAATCCATTCTGATCAGTAAAAGACAGTAGACAGGACCGCCTACAGTATTCAATCCTCTGGAACAGCCTTGTGTTGGGAAAAGGGGGAAGACATTCCAACCGAGGGCTTACGTAGCGTTCCAAGCCTATAGCCACAGAGGGCCAGCGATCATAAATCATGATGCCATAGCCCAGACACCAAAAGAAAACAAAAAGGCCTTCCTTTGGGCAAGCCAATAGAGAACATTTAACTTTTATTGCAGATAAATTACTTAATGTGAAATGCGATTCCTAATAAAAAACATTTACCCAATCCAAGTCTGCAAATCATGCCCTTATCGCTTATACGGACTGTCAGCCAAGCATGCAGCTGTCCTTTGAACCAAGAGAAGTACGCAGGGCCCAAAGCATTTCAGGTTTGATCCTGCGGCAGATAAACAGGCACACTGTAGAACGGGGATGGGGAAATCTACTCAAGTTCCAGGTTTATCTGACAGAAGCATCAAGAGCTTAACTTTTCTTGAGAGAGCACATATAATTCTTTGCTAACAAAAAAGAAAATCCTGCTCTTGGCTTTTAGCTCCCTGGTGTTTACATACCACTGCTTTAAAAAGTCATAAAAATTAAGTAAATCATTTAAATCACTTATCTCATGGAAAGCCCTGTGTCCACACTACAGTGCCATCACACTTGTGGGCAATAATGAGCACATTGGTTTATCAGCTAATGAGAATTTGTTTACCTAAAAAACAGATCCGGCTCAAATTAAGTTGGATGGAAAATTAAAGTTGGAATGGACTTGAATACTCGTAATGCACTGAATTTCAGTAGTGAAGGGAGGCTTAAATTTTTCTACAATTCTCCCTCTCATGTTAATTCAAACTGGAGCGTATTTAAGGTTATGATATTTAAGCTTAAGTCAATAAAATATTTTTATTTATGTATTCAAATTTGTTATAGCCACCCAACTCAGACTCTGTGACGTACAAAACCCCAAAATGCATAAAAACAAATAAAATATAAAACCACACAGACAACCCAGACTAATATGGTCTTAAAAGCAACACAAATCAAAACAAAACAGCCCCCCACAAAAATACACTAATACACTAGCCCCAGGCCTGAGACCAAAGCAAGGCTTGAAGAATACAATCTGAACTTTTAGAAAGAAATATTAAAGATTATTGGGATAAACAATACAAATTTCAAAAAAGCATACCCGAATAAGCACTGTAAAACTTTCCAATTTTTTTTTATGTCTTCAGGTGAATTCTTTAATCAGTTAAATCACTTTTTTAAAAAAACAAACCTTATAGGGTTTGGTTGAGGTAGTCCTTCCCCTCCCCTTTTTAAGGTTTATTTTCTTGGGCACTGAAAGCATCTATAATTTATATCTAATTTCTGACATGTTGAGATAGGAACCAGAAATATTTCAATATTCTCAATGCTATTTTTTTCTTATTTTCATTCGTCCACACTTCAGTTTAACTTAAGGGGGTGTGAACTCATGGGAATTTTGTCAACAGCATCCCAGTCCAATAACTTTTGTGATGATGTCATGGACAGTTGCAAGCTAAATCATTTGGGTCATCACAGCTAATGAGATTGAATAATAATGTGGGAAAATGAGGCAGAGGAGAATGCAAAGAAAGAAAAATGAAAAAGATGTGCCAAGAAATGGAGTAATCAAAGGAACAAAGGATGTCAGAACAATCTAAATGTTTAGTAAGATAATGTGTTTCCTAGTAATTCATTTGCTGACTCATCTGTATTAATTCTGCGGTGAATTGTGAACTTAGCCAGTCTAAGTACAGCCTTAGTTTATAGAATTAAGCAATACTGACACTAGGGAGAAACCCGAAATTTGTTCAGTTGGTGGTCTTTTTCTTTGCTTCTTTAAGATGTATCAGTCCAGTCCTGGTGGCCAGTCATCATGCAGCAGTGAACCATCACCACTTGGGAGCACCAACAACAATGACAGTGGAGTGGAAATGAACATGCACAGTGGGGGAAGTCTGGGGGACCTGACTGCGTTGGAGGATAGTACTCCTGTTGTGGACTCGACAGTCTCATCTGGCAACTCAACTGTCAGTCTTCAGCTAAGGAAACACATGACAACAATGCAACGCCTTGAGCAGCTCAAGAAAGAGAAACTCAGGACAGTGAAGGATTCTTGCTCATGGGCAAATCCAGCACCACAAGTCAAAAACACCAAGCTGCCTCCCATCCCAGGCAATGGTAAGTCAGGCGACTATTTTATAGTTATCCGACAATGTTTCAGAGACGATCTTCAACTATCCCACTACCATTCATTGAGTATCTTTCCTCTAATTAAAACAGGATCTGAGGCTCAGCTGGGATTGAAACCTAAGATGAGCCAAATATTGCACATACACACCCCTTCCCTTGTCTCTACCCAAATATGACATTGTAGTATTGTTTATGTGTGTTTCTTAACAGTTATGAGAACCAGTACCTGAGATGGAAACTCAAGTATAAATGCCAACTTGAAACAGAATGTAATCCATCTTTTTTATTTGGATATTGCAGTCTTCAAGGCAAAATGGGTTCCATTCCAGTGTTCAATGTTCCAATCTTTTCTACCTTCTTGAAAAGTAATGTGCAGGTTCATACTTGAAACAGAAAATGGGGATGTGCACCACCATCTCTCGTGATGTCTCAAGTCTTGAAAGAGATAACATGTCGCGTTGTATTTTGAAGCTTTGTTGACTTACAGAAAACAGACAGGGATATTGGGATGGTAGCCACTTTTGAAATATAGAATTATGACCTGACCAGATATACAACATTTTGTTCTGCTGTTTAAGTAATGTACAACAAAGTTACTGCATTCCAAACACTTATAAAGCAAAAAATGTCAATTCAGGATAACCCAGTTAACCCATTCAAAATATATACAGTAATAGGAATGACTAATATAGATATTCTGTAGCTCAGCAAGGGCAGAATGAAGCCTGCCTTACAAAGTTTCATCTTCTCAGTCTTATGCTGCTATCTTGAACAAATCTCCTTCTAATTCCTTGGTAAATATTTTCTGGATCTCAGTTCATCATCCTTAGTCCCAGAAGGGAAATTGAAAAGACATGAAAATGGCATAGCTTTTTAAATTTTGGGGGTTCTTTGTTTTGTGCCGTATGTTTACAGGCTCCATAAAGGCAGATTACGATAGTATGATGGACTTAAGAGATGTAGATGAATAATACCATTTTACAATAATTTCAGTGAAGAAATTAAACCCCTTTTCCTAAATATCTGATATCAATCTTTATGGTTAATCAGTTGTACTAGTTTAAACAACTTATGTGCCCGTACTTATTTTTTCATTTTGACCGTCTGATTCTAAAAAAATTATCCCTCAAACTGTTTCATTGTTAATTCAGTGACTCCACAGCAGTTCTATTACTGATTGTCATTGCTGACTTCCTTGTCCGTGCTCTGTGCTCTATATTGTTTAAGCTGTGGACAAACAATAGTTTTCCTTGCCTAATCTTGTTGAAAGTAATTTGGAAGGCAACAGTGGTTCTTCCAGACCACTTCCCATTTTCCAACCATCTGTATCTATGTGTGTGAGCTGGATAAGTATTCAAGATGATGATGATTGATGATGATATTGTTTGTATCCAAGTAAAAGAATGGAAGACCTTTCTTTTAGTACCACTGACTAATAATCTTACTCTCTTTCACATTTTCATTCAGGTTGTCTGCTGGACAATATGCGTGGCACCTCTACAACGTTGCCTAACCCAAGGATAACTGAGCTGTCCATCAGTGAAGTTACAATGTTGAACCAACTAACTGAACGCCGTGACAGCTCAACCAGTACCATCAGTTCTGCCTACACAGTCAGCCGCAGATCATCAGGAATATCCCCTTACTTCTCCAGCCGTCGTTCCAGTGAAGCTTCTCAATTTGGAAATCGTCCTAACAACACAAGCTCTGCTGACTCCTATGACCCTATTTCCACAGATGCCTCTCGCCGGTCAAGTGATGCCAGTCAGTGTAATGGGGTCTCTGGTCTTTTGAATCTCACACCAGCTCAGCAGTACAGGCTGAAAGCTAAGTATGCTGCTGCCACTGGTGGCCCACCCCCTACCCCACTACCTAACATGGAAAGAATGACCCTGAGGAATAAAATATCTCTCCTCGATGGCTCAGAGCCTGCTTTGCCTTCATTTCGTCTCCCTCCTGGGCCAAGGCGTTGTAGTGATAGCAGTGCTTATATGTATGGGGCATCACCTGCATTCTCTCATGAAGTGTCTGGGAATAGTGCCAGACGGGCAAGCGATCCAGTGAGGAGACCTGCTGGAGACCCAAGCTCCCTTCCCAGAGTCCATCCTTTCAACAGCACCAACAGCATGAACCCTCCTCATCCTCCTGCAGACAGAAGAAATTTCAACCTTCCAGTCTTTCCACATTCAGACAGAAGTCTTGCTAGGCATGTATATTCCCCACGACCCCCAAGTATTAGTGAAAATATTGCCATGGAAGCAATGCCTGGTGAGACAGATAGTTCTGTGGGAGATGACGATATTGTCCTACCCGATGATGTGGTACAATATATCAAATCCCAAAACAGTGGGATTGCCACAGAGAACTCTTCTACAGGGTATGGCAATGAAATGCAAAACTTCCAAGTGAATGCAAAAGTGCAACATAACAACACACTAAACCAACGCAGGATGGCTATTCCAGATCTGAGTATGAACCATTCAACCTCTCTTGGTGGTGGATGCCAAATAAACTATGGGGCTAACTCTGATTTGCGTAAAAATAACATGCCAGTCCAGTGGAACGAGGTTAGCTCAGGAACTGTTGATGCACCCTCTGCTCAAGCCAAACAGCAGTTCCCTCAGTGCAACTTAGCTGTATTCCATCAGAAGCAAAATTTTGGTCAGTATCAGAATTTCAACCAGCAGCAGTTGCAGGTGGGTCAAAACAACATGAATGGGACTCTGCAGCAATTTGTGCAGAAGAATGCAAGCATGGATGGACAAAGGCTCAATTGCATGCACTTAAAGCAGCAACAGGTGAATCCAGGTTCTGGTAACAACCTGGATTTGAACTCACATGAGGTGTACAACCAAGTTCATCAAATGCTAAGTCCAAATATGATTGCTGGTGATGTCACCCAGCTTTCTCCTTCCTGTAATAACCTGACCATGAAGCCTGCATTCCACGCTCATTCTCAGCAAATAGATAACGTGGCTGATCCCATTTCATTAATTAACAACGGCAGAGAATATGTGATGCACAGTCAAGACATGCAGGAACCAGGGTATCAGCAGAGCTTTTCATCTCAGCCAAGCCACATGAACTTCTCCCTGACACAGGAGGACTTTCACCAGGCTTCTGCATTACTGACTTCAGCTCAACCAAACTTTGAGCCACAACAGAATATGATAGGTACAGTTGGACAGAGCTTCACTTCCTCAGTGGTACAACCTCACCCCCCACCTAATCCTAATCCAGGAAACAAGCACCCAGGAGTCCGTGCCGTGCAGCAGTTGGGATACATGAGAACATCTCACCCAACAAATGATGTGAGCCCAGGGCAGGAAAGGGCAAACTCTTCCCCCAAGAGAACAACTGCTGTAGGACCATTGCAACCACAATTCAACAGTAGTATGAGGGAAAGCCATTTGATGCACTATTATGGTCAAATACACATGTATGAACAAAATGGAAATCTTAATAACCATACAGATTACAGCGTAAGACAACAATGTGCATTGAACATCAAACCAGCCACCATGCCTTCCCCTGGTGCTAATCAAGTTTCTAGCACAGTGGATTCTCAGGTTCCAGAGCCTCCTCAGATAGATTTTGATGCTATCATGGATGATGGTGACCATTCAAGTCTGATGTCAGGAACCTTGAGCCCTAGCATCCTGCAGAATCTCTCTCAGAACTCTTCTCGCCTTACAACTCCCCGAAATTCTCTGACACTGCCATCTATACCAACTGGAATTAGTAATATGGCAATAGGGGACATGAGCTCTATGTTGACCACCCTGGCAGAAGAGAGCAAATTTCTTAACATGATGTCTTAATGCATAAAGCACAAATGTCTAGAAGTATCCAGAGATTATGTGCTGAGCAATGTTATGAATGTGCTTTTTAAAAAAAAAAAAAAGGAAAGAAGTTTCCATAGAGTAGACTTTTACAAGTATTAAAACATATTAAGGGAATTCCAAATAAGAAAAAATATCTTTGTACAAACATGCATAAACTATATAAAAGCACTGAAAGGATGCACTTCTAGTATTATTTTTGTGCTTGTTTTTCAGAGTGCTCAAAGATGCCACCATCCTCCTTACAGTGCTTCTAAAGTGTCACCATTTATACAAGACTGAAAGGTCTCATTGAGAATCCTCTTAAAAACCTGACTGCCATTGCCACCATCCCTTCCCTTGTTAGTTTTCAAAGGGTTAACATTTCTCAACCCATCAACCTCAAAAATAGATGGGGCTTTGCCAGTGGTGGGACCCTCAAAAGCCATGTGTTAAAATAATGAGAAGCAATGTTTCAGATGAAGCTTTGCTTTTTGCAATCTCCTTTTGGCTTTCCCTTACCTATAGCTGCAAGTACGCAATGCCTTGTCCTCCCTAGCGACAGACCTAAATTTAACCATATGCAAAGCCATACTATAAATGCTTCATGCTTTGCTGGTGACCAGATGTACATGCATGCGCAGACACACACACACACACGCACACACACTTTATTTTTACAGCCAGTATCGCTCTTTGTACCTTGCAGCTTAGCTGAGAATCAGCTTTGCAGCGAAGTGCCTTACTGTGCATTAGCAGTTGAGTCGTCAAGGCATCTATTGTCCATTAATGTCAAATAAAGTGTACTGCCAGAAGCATATATAAAATAAAGGTGCATTAATATAAGGCATTGCAGTGTTGCTAAAAGGACATTTGAGAGAGACACATTGATGGGGAAATGTGAAAGACTTAATGCCTTAGTTGTGGCAGAGGGGGCGGTTCTGATCAGAGGATATGGAGAATATAGTGGAGATTTGAAAATGAAACTAACTTAAAAATATAGTAGAAAAATGTCCCTACCATGCACGATATGAAACACAGATCACTCTGAGTTTCTACTGACTTCACTTTGGAATTGGTCATACAAAAAGAACAGTGCTGGAGTTTGTTAAGCATGACATGATAAAAGTGATGCTGCAGAAGTGTGTACATTTTTATGTCATAAAATTTGCCCATCTCTCCCAGTTGTGTGTTCTATCAAACTGTTTAATTACACACTACATGGGTTGGCTCCGACTAATATCTCACTTTGGAGGTGGCCATCTGGCTTTGGTAAAAATGATCTTCTGTTTGTTTGACCAGTGATGATACCTCAGCATTATTATAAGACTGAAAGTTGCTCAGAATTCCTTGGAAAAGAGGGGTAGCACAGAAAGGAGTAAATAAGTTAAGCATGAAATAAATAAAGCTGTGTGCCTCTCCAAACCTACTGTTGGAACACTGAGGTGTCATCATCTCTTGAAGGCTTAGTGTAGCTGCTTTGAGGACCTTCCCATATTGTCTAAGCATGGAGAAAACATGGAAGTTCAACAGCAGTCCTGCAGAAGGGTTTTCTGTGTCTTTGCCAGTGTGCTCAGGTGAAATGGGGAGGCCCTTGAAAAGCCAAACCTTCAAGATGGCATGACACTTCACAGTATAGAGTAGTGGAATGGTTTGTCCAGCCCTAATCTGTTCAGTGCTACATGCTCATCAACTTGGGCCCACAAAAACGAATGGTGCTATTGCAAGAATGCATGGCAAACTTGTAGTCGGTTATGTGTATTACTGCTTCTAAGTTGCCATACAATTGCCATGTATTTAGCAAAAGTATACTAGCTATTTGTATGCATTACCCCTCCAGTAAGAAGATACATCCATGCCTACTGTCCCCTCTCTCTTATGACAATTTTTGGTGTGAGTAAGCAACTCTTGCCAAAACTCTGCATTTCATTCAGGAGAAGTATTTACACTGCATAATTGCATCAATTCATGCAAACCAGTGGGGGTGTTTACACATTTATTTAACTGCATTTTTGAAAGCATTATTTTGAAAAAGAAAATTATGAGATCAGACAATCATTAAGGGCAGAGATTCCAGCCAAGAAAAGCCTGTGAAAAGAGTAGAACGTGAAACAGGGTAGGATGGGTGTAAAATGTGAAAAACATGGCATACCAATGCTTGCGTTTTTATAAAGGGGCTCATTAGATTTGAGCTAAGCCATTCAAGCCCAAATCATTGGCATCACATAGCAAACTACATCAGTATTTGTCTAGCCAACATCTCTGGGTAACTCTGATGAAACAGATTTCACCCTGTCCTATACAGCTTCTCCTGCTTTCCCAAACCTGCTTCAGATGGCTGAAGTTTATCTAAAACAGGTTGAGCACACCAGAAGGAGGAGCAAGCATCGTGCAAGCAGAAAGCTCCTTGTGAGAAGTTGGGTTTTACACTTCAGCAGAATTATAGAAAGCATAGCTGTAAAAGGATGATGTATTATAAATTCCCTGCTTTATATATTTGTACATTTGATTAGAGTGATTTGTTTCATTATTTATTTTTGAACTGAAAAAAAAAAAAGGCATGTAAACCCAGTTGTTTAAAGAAACAGAGGCCCCAAGAGTCTCTTTGCTCATCTTTTCGATCAGTATTCTGTATCAGAATCTGTACATCGCACTGACACCAGGATCACTTGGCAGTGCCATTTACCCACCTAGCAGCCTCCATCTTGGAAATACAGGTAGTCCCCAGGTTAAGAACGCCCAGTTTTAGGACAACCCATAGTTAAGAACAGAGCCTATTGTAGCAAAATTTGAGTTAAATACACAATGATTCAAGTTAAATGCACAATGGTTCAAGTTAATTACACAATACTCCTTATACAGTATTATACAATAATACTGTTCCAGCTTACATACAAATTTGACTTAAGGACAGACCTTGGGAATGGAACTCATTCTTAAACTGGGCACTACCTGTACACAGTCTAGCAAACAACACCAGGGGTCTGATTAGGCTGCCTTGAATGTGGACCATTCTGACAGTGCAAGTCATAGTGGCTGTGTAAGTATGCACCCCCCCCCTTCAAGCATAGGGACATAAAGTCAAACAAATGACACTTGTCCCTGTTATTTCCACACAGAAAGCTGTGGAAGATCTGAATAACCATGATTATATCAGGCAGTGTCAGTGTATGAACTGGCTCTCACGTTAGCATGGGAATGTAGGTCCCATTTAATCATATAAAAGGATGACTTGCCATAGCTGATTATAAGCAGGAGATGAATGGCTGTCTCACAGCTCTCCCCGTGTCTGGTGTTCGATGCCATAGAAAAGGGAACCCTATTCACACATCAAAGTTTTGGTGTGGCAAGATTTTCTGAAGAGTACATTTCCATATCCATTTTTTATTAGTTACCCTTTCTTTCACCTGCACATTTTTCATTGTCATCAAGAAAAATCACTTTGATTATGTCTCTCACCATGTCAAAAGTTAACATGCAAAAAAACCAATTGGGCATCCTCCAAAAATGTATGATACCTGTTTTTTCATTCATAATGGACAATGGAAGACTTAAAAGAGGGAGAAGGGGAGAAATGGCTACAGTAGTTCTTCTCAGTTATTGCACATCTTAAGGCAGGACATGAATGTGATAGTTAAAAAAACTGAACTTAATTATTATTTCATTAAGGTGACAGTGTCACTACTGGCCTACTGATGTGGACCTTTCAGATCTGCTCATAGGACCATGCAGATCTGCTCATAGGACCATCCTCAAGTGACAATTGTGTAACATTACAAGATGATTTGGTTGTGTGACCTCATCCCCATCGCTTAGAATTGTCTTGATGTAGAATAAGAGTAGCAGGGAGTTCCAGAGAGGTAAGAATACATTGGACATCCCACAAACCATCAGGATGCCTTGTGGCAGGAACGCATACAGATATGAAGCCTGATAAGCATGAACAAATACAAACCCAAACAATTTACCCATTATTTTATTCAACTTGTCAATGGTGGTCTCCCTTTATTTACTGTAATCGTATTATAACAAGAAAACTGGCTCTGTATATATTCTGTATAAAAGGCACTCATTATTAATAAGAGTACTGTAGCTGAATTGTTCTGCCTTTATATCTCCAGGAGCTTTTTATCTGTTTTCTACATCGTAAGGATGGCAGTCATATGCTAAAACTGTATATAAATGTTTTGTACATTAAAAAAGTAATTTTTTTCATAATTTTTGTTTTTATTTATTATTGTTCAGGCTGTGTCATAAGAGAAAGGCACAAAGACACTATATATAGCATCATTACCCATATTACATTTAAGCATATGCTTGAGATGTTATTCTATATCATTTATAGTATGAACTTGACACATAATTTGCAAATACTCATGCAAGCATCTCACTAGGGTGCTGTTATTGGCTGTAGCTCCCTATTCAGAGGAATCTGGAGGAAGGGGCAAAATGGGGCTCAGCCCCTGAGTACCTTACTGTGATCAGAGGGGACAAAAACACTGCCTGGTGACTGGTGCATTTTGCCCATCCTTGTAAATCCTCTCTCCCAGCCCATACATCACTTTACAGACACACTGTGGGTTGAATGTGCACTTTAAGAAATTCCAGATTTGTTCCTACACAAGGTGTGAGAGATCCCTGGCTGTTGTAGATCAAATCCTGTTAGAACTAAAGTCTATGCAAGCAAACTATATTTTACGCCCTATTGAATGAATAGCTGTCCTGATCAGAAAGAACAACACAACACTGTTCCATGCCTAAAAGTTGCTAATGTAACTACAATATCTAAGCATAAGGCCAATGTAAAAATATAATCTTATTTGGCATCAGAGACAGTGGAAATGGTCTCGTTTGAAGATGGGCTTAAAATAGTTTCTTCTTTGCATCTGGTCCACGTTCATTTCTGTGTCAGCATGATATGACTAGAGCGGTGTTTTTCAACCTTAGCAACTTGAAGATGTGTGGACTTCAACTCCCAGAATTCATAGCTTGCTGGGGAATTCTGGGAGTTGAAATCCACACATCTTCAAGTTGCCAAGGTTGAGAAACACTGGACAAGTGACATAGGAACATGGACCTGGCTATGCTAAAGCAAACAGGATTCTGCTCCCCCTCTTTTTTACTGTATTTCTGCCCTCTTCTCAGCTTAAGAGATCACTGAAAAAAACTTCTCAAGGGATGGAAAAGGAGCTGTTTATAAAAACTGGTGAATCCAATCACGCATTGCCTATTCTAGCTATAAGCAGCTCTCTAAAATGCAGACAGAGATTTTTGCCATTATATGTGACTTGATCTTTCAGCGCCTTGGAGCAGATGCTCTACCTGTGGTACCTACCCGGGGTATCTTCTTGAAGAGAGACATTAAAGCATATTTTAGATCTAACTTGTGCCCCATTTTGTCACAACAGAAGCAATGAATTTTAATCAACATGGTGTTAGGGAGGTCATAATCAAAGGGCAAGTAACTGATTCCACTTCAGTATTGATGCTGTTTGTTCTCCATTTAATCGTAAACAAATCTGATGGCGCACTTGTGGGATGAAAGGTCACCATGCTTTCGAGTGTCACTTGGTGACCCCTTATCACAATGGTCCCTCTTTCTACTTCAAGGAATCTTGTTCCTGAGAAACACAGAATTGCACCTGGAGGATAGGCTACATTATAAATCCACAAAACATTCTGCAATAAATTGTATGGATGACAATTTACGGCCAGCCAGATCCTCTTGCTGACAGCTATTTAACGTGTAAATAAAGCAGCTGAAGAAAACAAACTTGTCTTCTCTAAGTATAATTTCTTCCTTCAGGATTTATGTTTCCAGTAAATCTGCAAACTGCCACTTTGAATATGTTGCTGTAAAAGTAACAAAACAAACAAGACCAAAGTGAAGTTCTTAAACAGAGGGTTGATCCTGACTTTTTGGACTATTCCTGTGGAACTCCAGCAAGGGTTATTTACTTACTTATTTTACTTACTGGTAAAACTCCATCCTTCGGTTTGGTTTTTTGGCACTGGAAGAGTTTTCAAAGCTATTCTGAGAATGTCACCTTCTCCTCTCAAACTGAGGTATGGATTGTAGTGTCCATATATCTCGCCTCATATCCACAAACATGGGAAGAGTCCTGTTGAATCAGGCAAAGGTCCATCTAATCTACAAACTGCCTCGCACAAACTCAGAAGCTGAACATGAGGATGCTACTCTCCAGCAGCTGGCTTTAAAGCTGTGCTTTCTGCGATTCAGGAGACAGAATACGGCAACGAAAGCTAACAGCCATTGACAGCAGTGGGTTGGGGGATGGGATCAAAAAAGTCAAGACCGTCAAAATCCTGCCCCTTTGTATGTGTATGCAATGTCAATGCATGTATAAATGGCGGAGCTTCAATCGCTCGGTCACAATTGCCATCTTGACTTTTCTTGTCTTTTGTAGCCACTCTTCCTTTCCGGCTCTTTTTCTTGGGGGACTAAATATGCAAAACAGGGCAGTATACTGGATTTAGGTCTCCCCTAGTACAAGTGACTAGGTGGACTTAATGTAACCCTGTGTGAGACTGAGTCTGTTTAAGCCCCAGGGTGGGTAGTTAACTCATTTTGGGTGTTCCTACAACACATTGACCCCTCACCGACTCAGTTAAGCACGTGTGATGGCTATGGACCACGATTGAGGGAAAATACTATAAGATGGTGTCTGTGCTTTCATCCAAAAGTATGGCAGAAATATTACAGCAGGAATTCACTGGAAGGCAGGGAATAATGCTTCCCAGAGTGATGCTACTCTGCACCTTTGAAGGAAATTAAATGGTGGATCATCGGACACTAGTTGGAGGAGTGCCACCACTAAGTAACCAAACAATTGGGTGGGTGTAGTAACAGCACAGAAGAAACCGTCCAGAAAGCATTTTGCCAAGCTCTTCCTCAAGTCTAGAGCAGAGTCAACCTCCTCAGAAACTTTCTTGGAAACTTCAGAACTCCAGCTGTTCTTCTCTTCTGCAAAAAGGTTTCTCCGTGTATCATAGCCACAGGACATTAAGAATCCTTAAATAAGACAGTATTGTCCATCAGCCAATGCCAACTGTACAAAAATTTTACAGAGTGTCAAAGGCCCACTGCATCTAACCTCATTCCCAATGTTCATAATGGTAAGTTATATCCATTTCTTTCCTCCTGCAGGCATATAACATCAGAAGCACCCAGCTAGAGAGTGGTACTGATGTGGACTTCAGTCAGTTAAACAGCAGATAAATGTGATGGTAGTGGTAAAAATGAGGGGCTGAAAATGGAACACACACCCGTTTTGCTCATCATCAGAAGTAACAATTCCTCAAACTGTTCTAGCAAATATTTGATTTAGCTGGCAAAAAGTGCCATCTTCTCAAGCTCCAACTACAAGAAAACTAGGCCTGTTGTATTTTGCACAATGGCACATGAGGAAACCCTGCCAATGAGCATAGCTGCTGGTGAGGTGTAAACAGGCCTACTTTGGGATCTCAAGGAAAAGCCAAGTGCAAAGTCACACACAAATCCAATTTATAGGATATGATCTGATCTCAGCGGAAGAGCCAGGATATCGATTCAATCGGAAATAGCAAGCAGGAGTCAGCACCCTACCCTTTCTCTTCTGCAGCCCAGAAAAGCTGCCAGTGGCTCATTTCACCAGTCACATATTTTTTTTACTGTTGAAATATTTCAGGGTTTTCAAATATTTTATCAAAGGCAAATATTTTGAAACCCTTTAAAGGTAGCCTCAAGGCATATAAAACTTAAG